TCCGTACTCTTGAGATGTTAGAATCGTCAAAGACTACCTCTAAAGTCAATACACGACAGAACACTTTTCACACCACATTCAAAACCACTTGCAAATTTTGTCAAGGAAATCATTTTATATATCAATGCAAAGAATTTGCTCATCTTACCTATACTGATCGCAAACGTTTTGTCGAACAGAATAGATTATGCTATAACTGCTTGATTCCTTTCCATACCGTTGACAAATGTAAACAAAAAACTACGTGTAGAAGATGTGGTAAGAAACATCATTCATTGATTCACCCCGAAGGCAACACTTTAGATCATCTTTCTTCAGATGCAGGAGAAAGTTCACACATACGAGAAAGTAGACAACCTGAAGTAGCTTCAACACCAGTCAATCACAATGTAGCGACCCATTACGCGGACCAGGAAATGACCAAGAACGTGCTGTTGGCCACAGCACTGGTTAAAATTCAATCATCAAATGGGACTACATACTATTTGCGTGCTCTGATAGACCCGGGATCCGAAGGTTCATTTATAACGGAGTCCGCTGCACAGTTCCTCGGATTAAAGAAAACTACAGTCAGATGCACAATTAATGGACTGGGCGAAGATGGCAAAGCAAGTCTCACATCCAATAGCATGGTTACATTCATAGCACAATCGAGATATGATCAGAGTTTTAATATATCAGTACAAGCATTTGTTATAAAATCTATTACTCGATCACAGCCTGCTCAACGAATATACAAACAGAACTGGCCACATCTGCACAATCTGGATTTAGCAGATCCTCATTTTGACACACCTGGGAAGATTGATATCTTGTTGAGTGCAGAAGTTTACAGCGAGATCCTGAAAGAAGGATTAAGTAAAGGCCCCCGTGGTACAATCATAGCGCAAAATACATACCTCGGGTGGATTTTGTTAGGCCGGTTGCACAATAAGGAGACTATACAAAGCTACAAAGTTACAACTAGTATGCATCTTACAATTGAGGATAATATTTTACAAAGATTTTGGGAGATAGAATCTGACTCTTTTCGTGAAAATGTTCTGACTGAAGAAGAGAGTCGATGTGAGCAAATATACGAAAAGACTTGTACCAGAGACAAAGATGGTAGATACATAGTTAGTTTACCATTTCGAGAAATAGACCCACCTTGTCAATATGGATCGTCCAGAGATGTTGCAAAAGAACGACTATTACAGTTAGAGAAAAGATTTGTAAAGAATCCTGATTTTATGTTACAATATAGTAATGTTTTGAAAGATTATTTAAATTTAGATTTCATGGAAGAGATTGTTGATGAGCATGAGCGACAAAAACCGACGGCAGTTTATATCCCTCATCATGCCGTTGTCAACCCTAAAAAGACGACAGTAAGAGTCGTGATGGATGCTTCGTGTAAATACAAAAACGGAGCATCGCTCAACGATAGTTTGATGGTTGGTCCTCGTCTTCAACCAGACTTACGCCACATCATCCTGCGATGGCGTAGACACAAAATATGTTTAGTAGCCGATATTACTAAAATGTATTTACAAATCAAGGTTGATCACACAAGCTCCGATTATCAACGTCTCCTCTGGCGAAATAATCCTGCAGAAGAAATTAAAGACTTTAGAATGAATAGAGTCACTTTTGGAACTGCTAGCGCTCCTTATTTAGCGACAAAAACACTTCAGCAGCTTGCGAATGATGAAGCAATTAAGTATCCATTGGCATCCAAAATTACCAAAACAGATTTTTATATGGACGACCTATTGACGGGTGCAGACACACTGGAACAAGCTCAAAGGATATATGATGAGATGAATGGATTGCTTGCTGTTGGCAAGTTTCATTTACAAAAATGGAACACTAATGATGCAGATCTTTTGAGTTACATGAAAAGTACCAATAATGAAGTCACAGAGATAGAGTTTCAGTTGGAAGGTACTATCAAGACACTAGGTATTGTATGGGACAGAATCAAAGATGAATTCCAGTACTTGGTAGATATTCCGGATGTGACATCTCCTGTAACAAAGAGATCTATCGCACGAGATGTAGCTAAATTGTTCGACCCAATGGGATGGCTTGCACCCGTCATCATTATTGGCAAGATATTTCTTCAAAAATTATGGCTCACAGGCATAGCTTGGGATCAGGATGTGCCGAGTGAAATATTACATGATTGGCTCAAGTTTAAGGAAGAATTACCTTCTCTATCTAATATTACTGTAGAGAGATGGTTGCACACCACTAGCACACCAAACTGGAACTCTTTGGATTCTCAGATGCTTCTACTGTAGCATACGGGGCTGTAGTATATGCAAGAGTTACAGATTCTGATGGTAAAATTCACATTCATCTAATTTCAGCTCGAACTAAGGTGGCTCCGGTAAAAACGGTATCCCTGCCACGCTTGGAGTTGTGTGGAGCAGTCTTACTGACTCGACTACTCATTGAAATTGCAGAACAACTGAACATTGCAAAGGAATATATCTATGCATACACGGACTCGAGTGTTGTATTGTCATGGCTACAGAGTCATCCAAGCAAATGGAAGACATTTGTTGCAAATAGGACTTCTGAGATAATAACTTCTTTGCCTAGTCACCATTGGTATCATGTGGCATCTAAAGAGAATCCCGCCGATTTGGCGTCTAGAGGGGTTACTGCATCTAAATTAAAGGAACAAAACTTATGGTGGCGAGGGCCAGAATGGCTAACAAAAGGAATTATAGAGCATAAGATGACAGAGCCAGACTTAAAAGAAGCTGAAGTAGAACAGAAGGTAGTAAAAGTTTTAAAAACTCAGATTGATGACAATTTTTCACAAATATTTACACGGTTTTCTACACTGACTAGACTCCAGAGGGTCATTGCAATCTGTAAACGATTCAGACATATAAAGACGAACAAGTTTCCTAGTTATCTTACAGTTGAAGAATTAAATAACGCTTTGATGACTTGCATCCTTATATGTCAGTATGAAGAGTTCTCCATAGATATAGATTATTTAAAGGAAAACAAAGCTGTAAAGAAATGCAGCAAACTACGTTCTCTTACACCGTTTTTAGATGAAAACGGAATGTTAAGAGTAGGAGGTCGTTTACGTCATGCTAATATTCCCGAAGAAGCTAAACATCAAATAATTCTACCTGATTGTCATCCTGTATCCAAACTGATTGTAGCAGACGCACATAAAAAGACCTTGCACGGTGGTCCAACCCTCATGTTAAGTTATTTGCGGCAAAGGTATTGGATTCTTGGTATTAAGAGAATGATCAAACAAGAAGTACACCGATGTATTATCTGTACGAGATATCATGCAACAGTTAATAATCAATTAATGGCCGATTTACCCGAACAGAGGGTTACACCCACAAGAGCTTTTTTACATAGCGGCGTAGATTTTGCTGGTCCTATTGATCTACGTATATCAAAAGGACGTGGATGCAAAACTTCTAAAGGATATTTATGTATATTTATATGTATGTCTACAAAGGCTATCCATATTGAAATTGTAAGTAGTTTAGAGAGTGCTGATTTTATTGCGGCCTTTAAACGATTTACCGCTCGGCGAGGACACTGTCGCCATATGTGGAGCGATAATGCCACTAATTTTATTGCGGGTAACAAAGAATTGCGAGCATTATTAAAAGAACAATTAGACACTTTAAATGGAGAAATTTTGGATATGCTTGCCAGAGACGGCACTGAATGGCATAACATCCCACCAGCTGCACCCCATTTCGGGGGTTTATGGGAATCTGGAGTGCGTTCTATTAAATTCCATTTAAAAAGAATTCTTGGCAATTCCACACTGACGTATGAAGAGATGGCTACGGTTACCAGTCAAATTGAAGCCTGCTTAAACTCTCGTCCCATATCGCAGATTAGTGATGAGATTAATGATTTACAACCTCTAACACCCGGCCATTTTTTGATCGGGGAGCCGCCAATTGTAGTACCGGAAAGATCTTATTTAAATGATAATATAAATAGGTTGAGCCGTTGGCAATTAGTACAGAGGATGGTGCAACATTTTTGGGATCGATGGGCTCGCGAATATTTAAGCAGACTTCAACAGAGGCCGAAATGGACAAAGAGGCACGACAATGATGTTAAAATTGGCGATCTTGTTATCGTGAAGGAAGAAAATTTGCCTCCCGGGAAGTGGTCCCTCGCCAGAATAATTAACGTACATCCCGGAGATGATGGCTTGATTCGTGTAGTTAGTTTAAGATGTAAAAATTCTGTAATCAAACGTCCACTCACCAAGATCAGTCGACTTCCAATTGACAGCTAATTTTGATATTAACAATTATTGTTTCGCTAGCATTTTAATAGTGTTTAATTATAATTCATACGGTTCTTTACGGTGGGCGGTTATTGGAAGGACGATACGTCCTTGGTGGGCGGAATGTTGAGAGCGCCACTATTTATAAATTGATAGTTTATACACTTTATATATATATTGTATTTGTACTTTACAAATGGTTTATTTAGATTTACTTAATGATTTGTGCGGAGATACAATTATTATTCTGATTTAATTCTAACGTTCATACTAGATGGCGCTCTGTTCTAAAACACGCTATAATTTAATTCCCTGAAAACCAGGTTATAGCATTGTAGATTTGAAATATTTAGTACTGTAATAAATTTTTTTACATTATACTCATTCTCGTATGTTGTGTTTCATTTCGGGGATTTTTTGGGCTGTCTAATACCGCGGCGCGTACCCCAACAGGAATCATTTACAACTATTTAACACGCAAAATTGTATGAAAAAATTTACCAGTTTTTGTCGAAGCATTTCTATGCAGATACTCTATCTATATAATCTAAGATTGCAGTATATAAAAAAGTAGAGAATAGTGTTTGATCAAAATTATATCATGATGTTATTATTCAATAAAAAAAGTTTTATCTTCCTCTTTTTTATATTATTATAATGTATATTGTAGTTTACTTTCAATACAATCGCAATAAAAAATAATAATAAAAAAAAAACTCACCGTCCATGTCTAATGTGACCGATGTTTTTTTCTTACTGACATCTATCACTGGCTGTTCTTTATTTAAAATTGTATCAATAATTCGATCTGTGTCCTCGTCTACATCGATGATATGCACTTCACTATTGTTTTTATTGTCTACGTGTGTCTCCACAAACGCCGACATAACAACTGTGTGTACATTTGTCACTAAATTATAATTTGCTGACAAAGGTCTTGTGCTGTCACGTATTTACTGCTGTAAACAAAAAAACACATTGCGTATAAACGTGCTCGAATAGGGGGAAGGGATTGTCAGTAACGGGGACTAAACGGCCCATTGCTAGCAATACCCTTTCTTTTTTTATTGGATGAAAATGGAATAAGAACCCCACCTATGCTATTGGTATTCGCAGACGGGGAATCAGTGAGGGATGATAGGTGTGGATGAAAGCAGGTCTATTAGCCCATCATGAAGAATTCAACAAGAAATAAACCACGATTATTTCCAGGAAGAACCACCTGGACGTCGATAAGACTACTCTGTTGCTAGGAATGGGTTTATTATCTCCATCTTCAACTATCATTTCTCACAGGTAATATACATTCTTATTTTAAAAATAAAATATAAGTAGATGCTAAAATATAAAATAGTACCTACTCGTATATAATATTGTAACAGTAGTTTGTAGTTGATATAACGCTGGTAAAGTGAATGTAACAGAACAAGGTACTGAGATGATTGTATAATGTTTTTTTTTATTTGGCACTTTTTTTTTAAATAATTGACATTGGAATTGATTTTGACGCCGCGATGATTAAGATGATTAAGCTTATCTCTCAAGTTAATATTTTAATTTGATAGTTTCCTTAAATTACTTTTTTATGGACCATTATAAAATAAATTTATAATAATTTTGACTTAAATTTATTAGCATTTTAATTCATATTGGTCTTTAGAATAAAGATTTCGTTGTGAATGTAACATCAAAATGATATAATATAATATGATATAATTTTAGAGATAAATTTAGGGATTAGGCGCTTTAAAGTCGACCTCATTCTTTGCATGTATTTTTATCGAGTCATCGGTCATTTCTAAACATATATATAGATAAAAACAGAAACCGGTCATAGTCTTTTATAATGGATAATAACTGAATGGTTACCCTGTCTGCTCAAACGATATACGTTGGTGGGGCACCAGTGTGTGATGATAGATGAGAATGAAAAGTCAGGTCAGTTAGCCTGTTGTGATGAATACACCTGGAGTTCAGTATGATTGTTTTCAGGGGGGACTACGTGGAGGTCGACCCGACGGGGTATATTGCTAGCAATGGGACTGATAGTCCGCATTAATAACAATCCTTTATAGAATAGAACATTTCTTTATAGAATTTTTAAAATTTCGAAAGTTTGGCGCGAAAGTACCTATTGGAAACGGCTAGTTCGAAAATAAGAGAGAAAATATCAATTATTATTATTATCTTCTAATTAAAACGTCTATAATTAAAATCTTTTATTGTTAGTCGTTTACAAACAAAAAAAAAAAACTATTCTTGGCAAAATTAGAAAAAATTAGCAAATTCTTGACAAGTGTAAATACTATTATTCAATAGCATATACACAAAAAATATTTATATTTTAATTGATAACCTACGTTTTTTAAGATCGGTTGAACTTGGAACTCGTGCATCACTGTAACAAGCACAAATAATGGTTCGTTCGTCCCCCAATGAAAACAGTTCATATCCTGTACAGTTGTCTGCAGGAATAACTGCAATGATTACGCTACAACTACTCTGTAACAATTTGCTAAATTGATGCCTAGTTACTACTGCACTATTATCCCACAAGGAATACGTAACAGAGTAATTATCGATAATACGTTCGTCCACGTTTTGTTACGTATTCGCTACGGTTTATAAATAATAGTAGGAAGAGGGAAACTTGACGTTATATGAAATCATACGCCGAGAAGTAGATGGCGTCGATAGTGTAGGACCATATTGCCAGATATAATTTATTATTTCTACCCAAATGACAAATGCTTTTTTTTAATTAATATCATTTTCTTTATTTTTACCCAATCATGTATTGGTTTTCACTACGTTTTACTACACTACCACTACGCAAACCATAATCTATTTTTTGTTCAACAATTCTTCTACAAATTTCATTACTCTTTCATTCCTCCAGCACAAAATTTTCTACCGAAAACTGCGATAATAATATCCAATTTGGCAATGCCGGTGTAGGATATTGGTGATATAATGAAAATAAGACATCAGATGTTTTGTCTCGTTTTATCTCTAGAAAAAGGCAATGAAAACGTATAATCTATAGATAGAATAATTTTCCATTTGTCTAAGGAGACTTAGCACCACTGCAATGAGTTTATACAGACAATTTACTACAATAAATTACTATCAAGTTTTTACAGTAGGGAAAAGGAAGGCAAGACGGGATAGCGGCTTTATATGTCGATACAACTGATCAATCAGAATCCCGCTAGGGTATGATGATGCACCGCCATGATGACAATCAGTTTGCGCAGTGACCGGCTAGCGACACTGCGTCATCAATTATATAATTGAAAAAAAAAAAAACTGGTTTTTGTCATATTCCTTGTAATTTTTGTGTTTTGTCTGATACGTGTTTGTTGCTAAATGCCACAAACACAATATACATATGTATAGTTATTTATATGCATTAACAATAACGCCAACAGGTAAGGACTTGTTTGTTTTTATATTACGGCATTTTTTTTTAAATAATTTGTTAAAATTCGTTAGGCGCGAGAGGCATTAGATGCATAATGAATTCATTTTCATTCACACACACACGCACACGCACATGCACACGCACACGCACACGCACACACACAAGCATACGCACACGCACACGCACACGCACACGCACACGCACACGCACACTCACACGCATACGCACACGCACACGCACACGAACACGCATACGCACACGCACACGCACACGCACACGCACACGCTCAGGCACACGCATGCGCGCACGCGCAGGCGCACTCGCACGCACAAGCACGCGCGCGTACACGCACGCGCACGCGCACTCGCACGCACACGCATGCATACATTTTTATCTAAAATTATAGACTCCATTGTAATTTTTGTTTTTGTATTTGTTACTTCTTTGTTTCATATTGTTTCACTAAAAATGTAAAACAACATATGGAAGAGGGCACTAACTCCTGAAACAGAGGTTTTTTCATACCTACCTCGGGAGTTAGGGACTTCAAATTATATTGTAACAAAGAGTGAAATAAAGATTATTTATTTATTTTATTTAGAATAGAATGCGTTACTTTTCAGGGAAACCGCGAGGAGGTCGACCTGACAGGGTGTTATGGGGTGTTGTTGACAGTAATGGGGTTACTAATCTCCATCATTAACAATCCCTTCTCCCTCCCAATGATACAATATCTCAATACATCTTACTATTGACTGCAAAATTACTTAATGTTACCTTACTAAAATTAAATTTTGTTAAGCTATATCAAATGGAAAATTAAAAATAATTCGCTGACTTTCATTAAAGTTCTTTTACGAAATATTTGATAAGTAGTTAAGTTATGACTTGACAGGAGATCACGACATTGTCACTCTTCTGTTCGTTTTGAAAAACAATAGAATAATGACAGTAATTTTATTATGATACCTCAAGGAAGTAATACATTAGATATCTTTATTTAGTTAGGTATTTATTGTCGTGTGCATTAACTACTTCAAACTGACTTGTCACGATATAAACATGTTATTGTACCTCATGGGTTTACCATTGCATTGCGAGTTTTCACGGTATTTTCCGCATGTTTACGATGTATAGGTTTCATATAGTTTCCATAAAAATAATATTATTAGCGTCGAAAAACCTATGCGGTCTAAATTCGTAATTTGCATGGTGGTCTGCTTGTATACGATTTTAAAATGGCATAATATTAAAAATATAAAAGTTAGATGCTTTAATAATTATAGGAAGTATAAAATAATGCAAGTACATATAATTAATATAACAATTAACGTTAACAACTATGGTTAAAGGTGTAACTATTGATTTTTGAACTCTATTATTAAATAATTCATGTTAATTGTAGATAAATATACTTACTATAGAATAAATTACCTATTTTCATCGTGGCACTTACTGACATCGGTGTCACAGTATGCCCATGGTGCTGTAAATGCTCATATGAAATGGTTATGATTTCATGTTGTAAACAGAAATACCTTCCAGTTAATTGAAATTTGCTTCGTATCTGAGGTTATATCAATTGAGCTAACTGTAGTCTGTTTCAACTGAACGTTATGAATGATGGTTATTTTTTTAGTTTATCATTCATAATAATATCAGCCTTTGACCGTCCACTGCTTGGCAGGTTTTAAGAGGGATGCTGCTGGCCATCACTCACCGTCCCTTAGTCAACTTTTATGATACCCACGGGCAAGGAAGGGGTGACCTATTCTATGCCGGGACCACACGGCTATTTTTTTTTAGTTAATTTGTTAATTTTGTTACAGAGTGAGAAACACTCTCTAACATAAATGAATCATTTATCGATTTTTTAATTTGTACTTATTGGAGATCAGCAGACCGTATTTTTTTTATTTTTTATGGATGAAGTATATCCTTTCAGATAAAAAAAGAATTTTTTAATTCAATTTACAATTGAGGAAGTTATGAGGTAACAAAAAAAATACAAGCCAATTAAGGATCTCCTTTTTTTTAAGTTAGTTGAAAAGATGGAAACTTCATGGTCCTTAAGGAATTAAAAAAAAATTGTCCTTATTTGATAATTTAGTTATGGCCTGTCCTGAGTTTTATTATGACCTGATATTTTAGTAGGCATTTCTTGGAATTTATTAAATATATCTATTAATTTATTGTGTATGTACATTGTATTGTTTCATTATTGTTTTTAAATTAAATTTTAATGAGTAAACTAATTCGATTTTACAGTTAAATTTATCTTGACTTGCGCCTTGATAATGGGTTAATAAAGTAGTCTAATACTTTTTGTATTTAGTAGTATCTAAATTTAATTTTCTACGGAAAAAATAATATCAAGCGATGTATCATAATGATGTTACATTGTTAGTCGTACAATGGAATCTTTATCGTGCGACTTGTTTAAAAAAAGCCACAATAACCCAGTCAATCAATTTAGTT